CACGCACACACACACACACACACACACACACACACACTGTAAAAACAGAAGTGCAAAATTAAGTACAGGCTTAAAGGATGTGTGTGTAATAATTATTTTAACTCCTAAACACACACACACACACACACACACACACACACACACACACACACACACACACACACACACACACACACACACGCACGATCCGAAAGTGGCTTTGCATAAATGGTTTCGTGTCCTTAACTAACCTTGTGAGAGAGTGAGAGACAGAATAAAAAAAAACAGACAGAGAGAGAGAGAGAGAGAGAGAGAGAGAGATGAAGTGGAAGAGACAGGAAGTGACACTAAAGGGGGCGGGGCTTCACTATGGCTATTTTTTTTAGCATTGTAGTGCATGCAGGATTGTATTAGTGTGTTAGATCGTGCTCAAAATAATTTCTTCTAAAGATGGATACACAGTTCAAGCAAATAAAAAAAAAAAACATCACAAAGTTACAATGATTATTCGCTATTTTACACACTCACACGTCACGTCAATCCGCACCTGACACGTTTCTGCTACGTGCTAAAGATTCAAAATATTTCCTATAAGCGCTATTTCCCAGTTATCTGAGAACTTGCGCTCTAAAAAATAAAACAAAACAACAACAACAACAAAAACGCTTGTTAATTCTCTAATTAATTCTGTTATCAGTGTTGTGTGGAACACGTTACTCTGTAATGAATTCATTAAATCACAGTTGCTAATGATGTACTTGCGTTACATACTCTACAGACTTTCAACAGTATTGAAGTTAAAATGTAAATTTATCGTCTAAAGATTTTGTTTAATAGTTTAACCCGACCTCTTTAAAAATCGTTAGCTGTAGACGAGTTGGCGTGTGTGAGTTCGCGTCAGGTGGCCATGAAGTCGCAGAAAAATGAGTGGCTGTGTGAAACATGTAGACAAGAACATCGCGATAAAATGTCCTGTAAAATTTACAGTAAACAACTGTAAAATACATTTACAACCAAGTGCTGTAATATCTTCAAGTTAATATAAATATAAAATGACACATACCCAAGCACAGTTGCTCTTTTGGCGCTTCAGCTGAGTTGAAGGTTATGGGTCTTGTCCAAACCCGACAGCTTGGCAGTAGTGGGATTTGAACACACAACCTCCTGAGCTGCGACTCAAAGCCTTAACCACTGAGCCTTGCGCTGATTCAACTACTTCTGGCACTGAATTAATGCCACTAAAAGATTGCAACGAACCGGCGCACGCTAGCTGTGGCGGCCCGGTGGTTACGGCGTCTCGTTACAGATCAGAAGGTCATGTGATCGAATCCCAGCACCGCCAACAAGACTCTTCAGCTCATCTGTATCCTCCATCAACACACCGGGTTATGCGTTATACTCTACTATATATGACTTTACTGTAAATATGTTTTACAGTTGTTTACTGTAAATTTTACAACCCTTTATTGGAAACGCAGGTTGCCACATTGTACATTGTTTACAGTGTACGGCTCTATTGAGTTTTCATCAGGAGCTGCTTTCGGTTTTAGTAGCTCTTATTCGTAAGGCAGTTTATATCACTTGTTTACACTTTTGGATTAAAAGTGCTTTAATAAAGCTATGCTTAACAGGCTCAACTACTCCTTCCAGGTTTGACTCAGATTTAAAGAATTTAAAGAAGAGGTTCATTTCTGTTGTCCGTGTGGTCAAGGTGGATACGGATTTTTAATGAGTAACGCGACTACTTTTCCGACAGAGTAATTAATCAGTCATTTAAATGAAACGTTGACGATGTAATTAGTAATTAATAATTAATTACGTTTTTTAAAGTAACTTATGCTGCCTAATATTAAGTGGGAAATAAAAAAGTGTGAAAACAGGAAACATTTCATTAAAACACGGCACATTTTTTGAGATAATCCTTTTACAATTCGCGTTACTGATTAACGTTCCTCGTGAAAGTAGGAGTCATTTCCGACTGTCGCCAGAGAGCAAAGCGAACAAACAGCGTTTTATTCCCATTAAAATGTAACGTGTTCGATTTAACGCTTCATTATAGGTCTATTTAATCTTCTTCTTCCTAGTCAACATTTTCAACCTTTTTTTTCTCCTTCAGCTGTAAACTGAAAGACTGTTTCATATTCTGACTATTTTCAGCTGAACTCTTTCTGTGCCATCCCTAATAATAGTTAACAAATGTTATATACTTATATTATTAAAAGTTTGTGCACCCCTGACCATCACACCCATATGTGCTTGTTGAACGTCTCATTCCAGATTTATTCCCTGTGTTTGCTGTTATAATGAGCTTCACTCTTCTGTGAAGTCTTTCCACTAGATGTTGGAGCGTGGCTGTGGGGATTTGTGTTCATTCAGCTACAAGAGCATTAGTGAGATCAGGCGCTGATGTTGGGATGTCGAGGAGGTCTGGGGTGCAGTCGGTGTTCAGTGGGGTTGAGGTCAGGGCTCTGTGCAGGACACTCGAGTTCTTCCACTCCAACCTTCACACACCATGTCTTCA